CCCCCTAGGTTATCCCTTGCCCCCCCCCCCGCTAACAGTGGCGGATCTGAGTGACATGTGCAGTGTGCACCTGCTGCTTGTGCGGTCAATCATTTCAAATTCTCAGACGCTGAGTCTGAGTGATTTCAGATCACTCAGACTCAGCGGTCACACATTTCAAATTCCGAGGCTATATGCCGTGGAGCCGGCTACGGAGTTGTTGTTTTATATGTTTATTTGTTTTTAAAAAGTATATATAAAACCCCTATGCGTTGCCTTTAAAACCGAATTTCATCCTGGGGGAATGTGCAAGTAGGAGTTTGTGAACCAATTTATTGGATGCCAGCTTCCCAAATCATGCATTTTTGATCTTTTAGGTTCCCCTCTTTCCTGGAGAATTCTCTTGCAAGAATTGTTAGCAGTCACTGGCGGAACTACCAGGGTCGTAGCGGTCGCAATTGTGACCGGGCCCTGGCGTTCTGCCTGCTGGGGGGGCCCAGCGAGGAAAAAGCGAGGAAGAAGAGGCCCCCCTCCTTCCCTGCCGCTCTGCCACCCGCAGCATGTACGGGCGGCTGTGCAGCAGGGCTGGAGAGGCTGTCACACTGGTCCCATAGAATGTGCGGCAGGCACCGCCGGGCAGCACATTCTGATGTGTGAGGACCCTCTCCACTTAGCTCCGCACCCTGCTCGCCGAGACGGGGAAGAAGGCCCTGCAGGAGAGCTAAGTTAAGTCTGGAGCGGGGGGGGGGAAGTGTTATAATGTATTGCTGGGACTTGTAGTCCCGCATAGCTGGTGGTATTCTGCATTGCTGTATGATGATTATAAAGCAATGCAGAATAGCACCAACTATGTAGGAGTACAAGTCCCAGCAATGCATTATAGTGGGGGTTGCTGGTGGTATTCTGCATAGCTGACGTTTATTATAGTGTATTGCTGGGACTTGTAGTCCCGCATTGCTGGTGGTATTCTGCATTGCTGTATGATTATACAGCAATCAGCAATACAGAACAGTGCCAACTATGTAGGACTACAAGTCCCAGCAATACATTATATTTTGAAGTAGGGATAAACCACTGCCAATGCTGGGCATTTTTACGAGTACTTATACTCATGAAAATGCCCCGATACTAATCACAGATACCGGTGTTCTGTGGAGAACGCCGACGTAGTCGATTTTGCCGACCTCAGCATCTGCGCTTGTGCACAGACCAATATTATCGAGGGAAACTGGATTTATTTACAAAGTATTTTGTATAAATCGTTAATTGTGACTGTTAATAAGATTCCATCCGTCATTTACTGCCATGGACGGTATATTCTTAACGGTCACAATTAACCATTACAAACGAATATTTTGTAAATAAATGCCGGTTTCCTCGGTAATCCCATCTGTACTTAAAAGCAGTTACTGGGTCAGCATTCTCGACAGAACACCAGACCTAAAATTTTAAACAAGCGGCTGCCTGAGGTCCCGCGCTTGCTGTGGACCTGGGCAGCCTTCCTGTTAACCATGCAGTGCCATGGCGGGTTGGGTGGGGGCCTTCATGGTTTCTTGCACCGGGGGCCCTGAAGGTTCTAGTTATGCCTCTGTTAGCAGTGCTGGGCCAAGGTCTTTTGGCACCCAAGGCAAGAATGCCTCCCTCTTCTCAGCTTTTTAAACTGGTGCTATACCATATTAGTACAAATTTAAAAGATAAAAAAACAAACATAAAAAATCCCCTGAAATATGGGAATAAACTACCACGAGTGTTACTGCAATAAACGGTAATGCGTGTAAGTGCAGTGCTAGATTGAGGACACATTGAGTCAATGAACAGGAATCCTTTATGAGTGTTCCTGTTCATTGATAACATGGTATGTTTACTATAACTACAATTATGAATGAACAGGAGGAGATGTAGATCACTCCCGTTCATTCATAATTGAGGATATAGTATACTGTACATACCAG